TCCCAAATTTGCAAACTCTCCCTTGAACTCAGGCTTTTTATATATGGATGCTTTCCCTTGGGTACCTAATAGGCCTCGCAAACTCAATAAATTCAGAACTGCACTTGTCAACCTGCCCTTCCTCTGGTCTTCCTCGTTTTACCACCGTTCTCCCACTTGATTAGGCCAAAAACCTTGGCATCATTCTCAACTCCTCTCTTTTTCTTAAATCTCACATACACTTTAGAAGTAAATCCTGTTGTCTTTACCTAGAAAATAGTCCCCAGTCTGACAGTCTAAGCATCTTCACTGCTACGTCCTTGGTCAGTGCCACCATCATCTCTACCCCAGAAGTGGCACTATCCAATGTCCCCACATCCACTCGTGCTTTTACAATCTGCTTGCCACCTAGCAGCCAGAGTGACCCTTTTAAGTCAGATTGTATTATGCTCCTGCTCAAAACCCTTCCTGTTACATCAGAGTAAAATCCGATCTAGAGTGGCCCAGCAGACTCCCATAGTTTGGCTGGCTGCCTTCTGACTCACCTCTTTCTACTTGCCTTCTCCCTCACTGTCTGCAGCCAGTCTGACCTTCCTGCTGTGCCTCCACCAGGCTCAGCCCTTCCCACTTCAAGGCCTTGCACTTACTGCTTTGTCTACCTGAAACCCCTCGGCTCTCTCCCTCCCTTCACTCAGGTCTCTGCATAAATGTCCCTGACTCAGTATGTTCCTTTCCCAAACATGCTTTTATAAAATGGCACTCAACACTTTTCATTCCCTTTCCTGTTTTATTTATTTTTTCAAAGCATTTTCACTACCTTCATTATATCTAGATCTCTTTATTCACTTGAATATTGTACGTCTCTCTTATTAGAATGTAAACTCATTGAGGGCAAAAGTTTATGCCAGAAAGCAGCTAAGCCTAGGTTGGTGCTAACACAGAGTTAATGCTTAATAAGTAAGTTTTTAAATGAATTAAGAATGAATATTGAGGGTGGAGATGGTGGGGTAGCTAAACCCTGCAAAAAGGCTGAATTGATTATTTGTAGAGATGAATCTATTTTAGAGAAAAGATAATGAAACTTCAAAACTTTCAAAAGAAAGTGCTGATAAAATTAACTTCCAGAAATTGCTGATTCATATATGAGAATTCACCTAAATTTAGCACAGTGACCAACTACAATCATTGGACAGTCTGCAATTCAAGCACGATGCGCTCTAATGGGACTTTTGATATCCCATCCTCTGTATAGGCAGCTATAAACACATTTACTGCCCAACCTCAAATGCTTACATTATTTATCATTGCATTACAAACCCAGGATTTTCCAAGAACAAACAAATTGCTAACTATTTTTACAGACATGCTTTTTTTCCCCCCACTGTAGATGATCTGAGATGGATTTAAATGTTACATTTCTCAACCAGTCTTTTGCAATTGTTTTCTCATTGACTTCCTTCTGTCCTTTTCTCTTCTGATCTCTCCTCCAAGTCTTGTTAGAAAACATGCTGTATTGTGCACTAAAAGTTTAATTTCTTCCCCAAACATGTCAAATGATATACTGGATTAAAGGAAAGGATGTTGGATTAAGATTAATGGAGAAGGGTTAAAATGAGGATATGTGCATAAAAACAAACAAACAAACAAACAAACAAACAAAAACAAAAAACAAACAGAGAAAAAAACCCAAGAGAGTCCTCTTTTGGACCCTGAAGTCAATCACTAATTTCCCACTATAATTTATTTAACAGCAAGCTTCCCAATTCTGCTCCTATTCAATTCCAAGAGTCTAGGTATTGGGAACAAAGCCAGGATTATGGCATGTTGAGTATAACAGGATACATTTTTAGTCTGGCCATGTTGACAAGCCACATTTGATGGGAATGGGACCAAAGACAGGCTCGGAAGATGCAAGAGCATCAGAGGATGCTGTTTCTTCCTTTTACCCGGGCCTATTGGGGAGAAATGCAGAAAACCTTTTGGCCTAGACTACTCTATGCTCATTATGGGAGTCTAAAACTCTAATCTGTTGACCAACATTATGCATTTCCTCTCAAATGGCAGTTCTTTGGGTAATTCTAGCTATGAATATTCACAAAAAATCTTCCTTGTCTGTAGAAGGAAATGACTAAAAACAGGAATAAAGAGAAAATACATGGATAATATATAAGTAAAAGCACCCTGAAGACCCTGTGATCATTTAAAAATATACACAGAATTCTGGATATAAAACTGCATAGTTTCTTTGCCATCTGCTTTTGAAATGGAAGTCTAAGGTGTTTCCAAATAAACATTAAAAGAAAAAAAAAAAAAAAAGAGACCTAATAGACAAAATTAGTCTGCCAGTTCAGACTAGGCTAAATGGAAGACAGCTTGGTTCCACCCACAGAAAATGTGGAGCTGTTAGGGAAGCTCCCCACGAGGGTGAATCCATTCATCCTTTAGTAGCCCTTCTGGTGCTTTCAAAAGGCTCCGCCCATAGATGGTCACCACTGAGGTCAACAGGACAATGCACAGAGGTCATCGGAAAGTGAACTCTGTTCTGCTTCGTCTCGATCACTGAAGGAGTACTTAAACATTTAGAACATTTAGAACATTTTGTTCTACACTGTTATTTAACAAGACATTTTGCACTTAGTTACTCTGAATCCAGGTGAGGAGTATATATTATAAATTATTTCTGCACAAAGTTCTTGTATCAAATGAGGATAAGTGCTCTGGCTGAGTTATGACACAAACACAGTCACTGCTTCTTGTGCTTCAGAGAGACTCATAGTCTCAGAGAGAGTCTGTGTCTTTCCAAAATACATATTAAATATATCCAGGAACCAGAGTTCTCTAACTCAACAAAGGAATGATGATTTGGGGAGATGAGGGTTACCACAGTCAGTGCATTTTTTGATTATTGATTTAGTTTGGAATTTGGAAAGAAAAATTTCAGATCACTGATAAAATCAGTTCTTGTGGTGTTATGGCTCATCAGATATTTAGCTATCTCAAGGGACATATACAAATTCTGTAAAATATCTCAAAAAACAAAATGAACTGCTTCAAAAACAATTACAGAGCCCCTGGAGAGTACCAGGGACTACTCTAAGAGCATTGCACATTCTGACTCATATATTTAAGTCTCTAAATATTACTAGGAGGTAAGAACTATTCTTTCCAATTTTACAAAGGAGGAAACTAAAAGAAAGATTAGAGAACTTGATCAACATCACGCAGCTTAAAAACAGAAGATCTGGGGTTTGAATCCAGTCAGTGAGACCTCAGAACATACTTCATTGCTTTTGTAACATTCATTTACTCAGTGAAGTGTCTTTAGTGTGCGTGCTCCTGGGCTAGTGCTGCACACAAGGAGGATGTCTGGCAGGTTGTGCTCAGCGCCAGATGTCTTAAGGCTGATGCTTCATTGCTGTGTGATCCCTGCCACAGCTGCCAGGAACACAACATTTATGGGTCATCATACCACTTTGATCTTCTTGCTTATTTAAAAAAATGTAACAGCTTTATTGAGATATAATTCACATAACATACAACTCACCCATATAAAGTGGACAATTCAATGGCTTTTAATATATTCACAGAGTTGTACAGCGTCACCATCATCAGTTTTAGAACATCTCTATCACCCCAAAGAGAAACTCCATACCCATTTGCAGTCACTCCCCATTAACTCCCACCCCCCAACTCCTAACAAGCAGTAGTCTGCTTTCTGTCTCTATAAGTTTTTCTAATATAAACATTTCATATAAATAGAATCATATAATAAATTACCTTTTGTGTCTGGCTTCTTTCACTCGGCATGATGTTTTTAAGGTTCATTCATGTTACAGCATGTATTAGTTCTGTACTTCAGTTCTTTTTAGTGCCAAATAATATTCTATTGTCTGAATTTGCCACATGTTATTTATCTATTCCTCCTTTGATATACATGTTTCCACTTTTTGGCTATTAGAATAATGCTGCTATAAATATGTGTGTGCAAGTTTTTTGTGTGGACATGTTTTAATTTCTCATAGGTATATACTTAGGAGTGGAATTGCAGTATCGCATGATAAATCTATGTTTAAACTTTTGAGGAATTACCAGATTGTTCTTTCCTTGATTAATGATAATAAGAAGTTCTCCTCTGCTGACTGTTTTGGCAAAAGTGACTTTTCTCCTCTATAGAGGCACCTTGACATTGGAAAGTAAAGATATCAGACCTTGTCTTCAACAAATATTCAAAATCTGGTTGGCTATAAATAGCCACATTCAGTATCAGAAACTAAATGCAAAGTTAGAGTAACCTGCTTCATCCCTCCTTAATACTAAGTCTTTTTAGTGAGTGCATGAAGCAAATTTAATAAATGATGGTAATAATAATAACTAACATCTGTTGAACGCTGTAGATGTTCCAGGCAGTCTATAACATATGATACATGTATTTTACTGTTCGATTTTAGACCTGCTAAAATGTTTTAGAATCTTTACATTCTAGAGGGTAAATTTAAAACAAACAAACATAAGAATGACAGACAGCCACAATTCTATCCGTACTGATGAATGACTAGGTAGGAAAAAAAAAGGTTTAGCTTGAAGTAAGAAAAACTAAAACAAAAAGATGAACTCCCCTAAATGGAAAACTACTCAGAAGAGACTGACTTAAATGGGTCAAAGATAGTTTCCTTGAGGGTATTATAAGGAAGGAGGAAATAGAGTGAATTTCTGTTATTTTTTCTGGGTCTGTGTACTCATGATACTATCTTATGGTTTAAGTTGTTTATAGGTACACAGAATTTATTGCCAAATAAAGTAATATTTAGTAAATATTAACAGAAAAGAGAAATGAGGAACTGTTCTAGTATAACATGTTTATTGGCTTTTGTTAAAAAGTTTTCCTGTTGCAAAGTGCCCATCTCTTGCCTAAAAAAAAATTCATTTGAATAGGTTTGTCCACCACAATGTACTTCAGAGAGCAATGAGTAGACACAGAATTAAACAAACAAATAAGAAACAAACTTTATGCAGTGTTTTGTTTGTGATATGTTTAAAGTAAAAATGGGTAAGTTTATATTTATTATTACAAATGATGGCCACAAAAGCCATTGCTCATAAAGAATAATTATAATTTGTATGGTAATGACATTTCCTATTAAAAGAACTATAATATATGCCAGGAAATCCACCAATAAGCTTCTTCTTGGAAATAAAAACCAAACTGATCATTTTGCTTTAGTATATTAGGTTAAAAAAAAATGGTGTCTAATCGAAGAGTGCATTGTGTTGATTACAATTTTGTGTAAGTTGGCCGTAGAGGAATTTCTCATTTGCATTGAAATTCTGAATACACAACTGTGAAAAAATGTAGAAGCATATTATTTTCAATGAACTCTAAATTGCTCTTAGAACTGAAGGCCGTGGGAAGAATCCTTATCCTGCGTTACGCTTTAGTCCTTCACATCCAGTTACCAGCTGCTTGCAGTCATCTTTATTCCTCAGGAAAGATTAAACCTTTCTATTTAGCAACCAATCCAGGAACTAGATTTCACCACACTAACCACATCTTCCTTCTCTGTATCGTACTTGTATGTTTTTGGTCCTGAAAAGAAGTAAATGTAGCCTAAAAGAGACAAAGTTGAAAGGGTGGTTACCAAAAATGACCTGCAATTATGTAAATGGGAGGACTTGTTATTGTAACTTTCTTGAGGTGGCACCAAAAGAGAATTGGGAATTTTTCAGGTGGCAGTTAGCTTGTCTTTGGCACAGCTCCACCACGCCCTAGAATCTGACACCTCTAACTTTAAAGTCATTTCTCATCTTACTCTTTGCTCCAGCCAGGTAAGGCCTTCTCCTCGAATCATCCAACATGCCATGTTTAATTATGCTTTGTGCTTCTGCTCAGGCTATTCTCCTCCAAGAAGCTCCCTCACCTTTCCTTTACCTAGTCAAACCTCTAGCCAATCTTCAAAACCCAGCTAGAGTTCTCCCATGAAATCTCCAATGACTGCTGCCAATTCTGATCTTTTTTTTCCTCAGATCAGCTCTTGTTATTATTGGGAAGTCTGCCACACAATTCAGTACTAAATTAAACGTTGTCTTGTTTTCCAGCAACTTCATCTGTATAGGATGGATAGGCATTTCTCAAAAGTGTTCACCATTCTGTGAGAGCAGAGGCCATGTCTAGAACTGTCTTTGCATTTCTGAACAGTGTCCAGCTCTGTGCTACATTCTCAGGAAGAATGTGTTGACTGACTGATTCAAAAGATTCAATTTAATTTATTTAACCCAATTCAATTCAACTTTACTCACTATGTGTTAAATTTCAGGAGTTGGTGATGGAGTGGGAAAAGGCACTGGAAAGGTTGAGAGTATGTATGTATATTTTTTTAGTTCCTATTTTCATTTATTAAAATCGTATGTATAGGTATAGTCATGAAACCACCAGTGTTTCCACACTTAGTTGATATAATTCCAACCAAAAGCAAAGACACTTGACATATTCATTCATCTTTATAGCCTTCTGGCAGGGTAATCATTGTAGGCTATATTTCTATAGACTATGTGCATGTTAAAGATAAAAAAGGAAGCCTGGGTGGACTTTATGATCTAGCTAATGGATTGAAGTTATACTTCTAAATCATTCCATTAGCAAAGAGAGAACCACAATGGCAGACCTTTTATAGTTACTCTTTCTACTAGATAATCTGGTTAGCCAAACTTATAAAAGAACCCAGGACAAAAATAAGAACCAATGACTCCCATTTGGAAGCCTATTTTCTGTTGTGTTAAAGCAGAGCCCAGATTTCTTTTTATAATTTCCACAAAGTTTTTGGCAGAAACACTCACCATTTAATTCCACAGCAGCATCTATTTGGCCATTTACTCCTGAAAATTCTTCTTCAGTACTCTTTGGATAGTCTTTTTCCATTCTCCTTTTCCGTTCATCATAGCTGGAAGAAGTATTATTTCATAAATAATATTAATAAGAGGCTTTTATTGATTGTAGACGACATCACGCTGGTCAAGCATATTTAGCCAGGGCTGCTCTATGACTTATTTTGATCTCTCTCTCTCTCACACACACATTAAAAAAAATTGGGGTCTTGAAATACCAAAAACAAATTACAAGCCTCTATACTAGTTTACTATGTTCCTGAGATTCTGGTACCACTAATTTGGAAGTCACGTGCTCTAAGCAGCCTCTTCAAAAAATTGCCAGATATATTGTTTAGACTCAGTTATTTTATGTATTATAGCAAAATCTTTCTGAAACTTAAAAAAAAATGGCCTTTCAAAAGTAACTTTACTTGTATTACTAATGCCTTATTTACTGTTGTAATTATTTTCTCCCTTTCTATGTGAATTTCTTGGTTTGCCAGACAATTGAAAGCCTTTTATAGGGGCTTTTATCCATGGACTTAGTGCTATATACTCATGGAGAAAGGGTTGAACAAATAATGCACATTGAATAAATAAATACATGCATGAACAAGTGAACAATCAGTAAATAAGAAACAAAAAAATCTGTAAAAAAAAAAAAAAGAAGCAAAGGCCTTTTAAATCAATTTAATTGCATTTCATTGCTTTTCCTTCTTGGAAAGATTATATGACCGACCAAATAGTAGATTAGGCTTCTTTTTCTGGATCAGCAACCACCATTCAATGCTAACTCTGAAGACTGGTTAATATATCTCTTTGTGATCTAAATTATGCCTTGTGAAAAAGAGCGTGACTTGGATGAGTCAGCATGACTTGTATGGGTTCAGCATTGGGCAGGGATGACTCTCATCTCTCCGATACTATTTCATTCTAAGTTTGAGAAAGTTCCTTCTTCTTTAGCTCAGAGCTCCAAATGGGGACGTTCCCAGATGAACACTACACTTCTTTTCCACCAAAAGGTCAGACAATTTCTCCTGGTACTTGGACTACTGGGTAGTTTCCTGTGGCAGCAGATCACAATCACCATCTCCAGAAACGTGACTACATAGGGCAGTGGACAAATCTCTTGTGATTGTGAGCAGGAGTCAAACATTGGGACAGAAGTGTTTAGGCTAAAACTGACTAAAGGGTTGAGCTGCTTTATGGAGTGTTGGGGTTAGGGGTGGAAGCTAACTTTCTCAACATATTAATATATTAACTATAACATTAATATTGCATTTGGGCCTTTTATGTAGACATTGTATAAACAGGGGCCTATATAACTAATACAAGGTTACCTACTTTTCATTTTACCAAGTAAGAACATTACCACGAAACCATCAAAAAACCATTACTGCCTATTTTCATGATCATTTCACAAAGAAAAGAAACTAACACCAAAAAGGAAGAAAGGACATAAACTCAGAATAAAAGACAGCTCTTGCCAATAATCTGTCTTTATGCTGCCACATACCGCACCTCCCTACATTTACAATACTGTGCTGTGGTTCTTCCTTGCTGTGAACTGGTGAAAACTTTGTGATGATGGAACCCTTTGTTTGTGGGTAGATATTTTGGGATTTCTGTTATAGAGCAAAGAGTACAACGTATATAGTCAGGTCTGACTCTGTTAATCTGAATTTCTGACTCTGTTGGCTTTGTGATCAGGAGAATGTGCTTTGAACTCTGAGCCCTGGTTTCCTCCCCTGGAAAATAGTGGTCATGAAGACAAGATAATTTATGCATGTGCATGTACATGCATGGAGGGGCTTGGCACATGTAGCACCCTAGGCAGGCCCAAGCCATAAGACTACATAAGTTATTTTGGCCCCAAGAACCATTAACTCTGACTTGTTAGTATGAGGTTGAGTAAACTTTGGTCTAATAATCTATACCTAATTTGTTTGCTTCTACTTAAAGAATAAGAAATTCAAGCTATTTTAGGTATTATCTAATCAAACTATATCTTCCTGAGATCTGGATAAATTGAATTACCACAAATAAAGCAAAGCTAGGCAGAAGTATTGTTGGCATGAAGGCATAGTGAAGTGGTTTCTACTGACTTCAAAATAAAATATTGGAAAAGACAAAAACTCCAAAGAGTTAACAGTTATTGCTGGTCATTTTTCTGATTTAAGCACGTGAAGTGAGAAGTCTGCCTATTATACATGTCTCATATAATGTAAAGATTTTCAAACTCATCCTGACAATATTTAATATACTAATACTTAAGCAAAATATTAGTAATAATACTTTAATTAAAAAAATTAAACATTCATAACAAAACAAAATATAGGACACCAGAACAAAAGGAGTAAACTAGGTCTATCCTGGGTAAACTGTACCATATTGAAAACTATACACATGGCACCATTCAGATTCCGAGATCATTCATTTTTTTTTTTTTTTCCTTTTTGTCTTTTTTCGTGACCAGCAACGGATCGCAACCCTCAGTGTCGCGCCTGTACCGGACCGGGACCGGCAATGGGATCGCAACCCTCGGTGTTGCGCCCGCACCTCGCTCAGCCAGTGAGCGGGAACCGGTCTGTATGTGGGATCCGAACCCTCGGCGGGAGCACCGCCGTGCTCCCAAGTGGCGTACTGTAGCAGTGCGCCACTGGGCTGGCCCGAAATCTTTAATCTTTAAACATACTTTATCAGGATAATATTTTGCAGTAGTAGGTAAGGTTGAGAAGAGGTGGAAAAAGGAGGGCTAGAAAAATTTGGAGGTGGTCCAGAGAACCATGTTGGAGAAGGGGTTAAGATTAGGAAGGTCTGCTGGTGTGTTGATACTGCCAAAAGGATGAAAGAAAAGAAAAGTATATGACAGGATGAGAATCATGAGCATTTTGACTGACAAATAAATGGTGAAGAGAACTGTGGTGGACAGGATGGCCTTTGGAGCTGGATTCAGAGGACATGAAATACAGCTTCAGAGGGACCGCTGTTTAGCTGGGTGATCTTGAGTTAATCACATAACTTCTCTGAGACACACTGTTTTTAACCATTAAGTGGAAATAACAATTCCTACTTCTCAATATTGTTGAGAAGGAAGATAAGAGAATGAGGGAATATGAGAAAATACCCAGCATGATTCCTGATGCCCAGTGAGCCATCAATAAATATTAGCTGAATTTGAATATTATGGAAAGAAATACATTTTTATTGAGAATCTACTCTATAGTAGGTATCTGCTGAAATTATTGCATACATTTTCTCATCACTGAGGTCTTGTTTATGAAATCGAAATATCAAGCTAAAAATAATGATCTGTAACTACATATTTCCTTTTGGGCAATTGTTTTATCATTTAATGTTGATAAAAGGTATAGATATTAAATAAACCATCGCTGACTATTAAACTTTACTAGTGATATCATAGTGCCACAAATGTCTGATGTAGTTTTTCAGATATGTCAGCTTACTGCCCAATTTGTATCTAAGGACTTGGGGAATATTTTAGTAAAGAGCTTGCATTTTTGTTTTTGTTTAAGCTGACATGCATGCTTGGAACTTAGATTTGTTAGGCATTTTGAGTGTTTTGACTGTGATGATTTCTATCATGTGTCAATGGCATAACTGACTCCACTCTGCCTCTGCTGAAGTGCTAAATGGGGAGTTGAGTCTTCTAAAGGATGCTTAGGGAGAATGTGAAAAGGCATGGCAAAAAGAGGCCTTATTGGTAAAGTATCTAAGATTGTTTTAGGAAGTTCCCTCAAGGTGACCTTACCAGTGTGGGTCAAAAGGGACAATGAAATGGAAATCTGGAATTCCCCTTTGAAGTTAATAATCAACTTCTAGCCGGGAATCACATGGCTTTGTGAAGGAAGAGCCCTTTGTAATTTACACTAGGGAAGGGCAGGAGGAGAGTGATCAGGAATGAAAAGAAGATAGAAGAGGGAGAAGCTGCCATGAATCATCCCAGAGGAGAGTCAGGAAGCAGGACCCCGTGAGGAAAATGACTGTGGGAAGATTCTGGAAGAATTTGTAACAGCATGGAAAATTGTCTATGCTATGATAGTAAGTGGAAAAATGTCAGGATACAAAATTGGATAGTTAACTATTTTAAAATGGTAATACCCCTAGAAAGAAATAGAAAAAAGAAATTACATGATTATCAAAAGACGTTGCAAATGGGTTCAGATCCTCGTAATGGCCAGTCACCACCACACACATACAAAAAGATGCTGCAAGTGTTGGCAACTGGAGGAATTTCTTTTCCTTTCATATTTTCCATGTTTTCTATAATGAACATAATACGCTGTCCTTGGGCCCCTTCCTCCTGGACAGTCTCATACTTTTACATGGCCTCAGTTGCCACCTGATTATACAATGAATTCCAAAGTTATCTTTCCACCCTGAGTTCTCCTGAGCTCAAGATCTGCATGTTCAACTCTCTTCTGGGCATTCCCATTCTTGGGTTTCACTAGAATGTTAAAATCCACATGCACAAAATGGAACTCCTCTTCATTCCCCTAATTCTGCTTCACTTCTTAAGTTTACTATTTTTGTAAATAGTAAGATGGAAAACCCATTGATCAAAGCAATGACCCCCAGCTAGTCAATCACCAAGACCTAAGATTTCTACTGCTTGAAGAATAATCAAATCTACCCTAAACCTCCGAACTCACCATCTCTGGCAGAATCATTGCAATAAGATTTTTTCTCTCTTATTTAACAATTCACTGTTTCATTTTAATATATTCACAGAATCATGATACCATCAACACAATCAATTTCAGAACATTGCCATCACCTCAAAAAGAAATCTCATGTCTTTCAGCTATCAGTTCCCAACTCCCCCTCCCCACCTCCACCTTTCATCCTTCCCAGCCCTAGACAATCATTAATCTACTTTCTGTCTTGGTAGACTTGCCCCATTCTGTACATTTCATGTAAATGAAATAATTTAATATGTGAATTTTTGTGACCAACCTTTATTTAGCATAATGCTTTCAAGATCCATTCATGTTGTAGCATGTATCAATAATTCATTAATTATTGTGGCCAAATAATATTCCATTGTGCAAAT